ACATAATTTAAAAAAAAAAACAAAAATAATTTACAACCAAAAAAAAAAATTACCTTGCTAGAGAAGAATGCTTTGCCGAGGCCGTAGGATTTTTTCGACATTTTTTTGGATTTTTTTAAGCTCGAATAGCTCGTTGAAAGTTGGAGAGTTTAGAGAGATAGAGAGAAAGGTTAAGGACAAAATAGTAAAAAGGGTGCAGTGACTAGTAATAGGAGGCGGTGAATAACAATTGAGTAAAATTAAGTGGCTTTGAAGAAAAAAAAAACTGCCACAAAACAACACTGATTCATTAAGAGCACCCACAATGCTTTGGGTCTCTTAACAAAAAATCACATGCCACATGGGAAATAGACTTAGTCTATAAAAAAATACTTCCCAATGCAATTAAAAGTGGACATGGTCTAACTTATGTGGCAATGAAAAAAAGAGACTAAGTCCACACTTGGGTCTATTTTGGACCCAAGTACAAACCCAAACACTCATCATTTGTTCTTAATTTAATTTTTTTTTAATGAATAAAACATATTAGAGCATTTTTATTGGTTGTCATGTATGCTAGACCTAGTCTCTTTATTTTTGCATTGCAAAGTTTTTGAGTTTTTTTACTTGGGTTTGTCCATGCCATTTAAAACTCAAGTCTAATTATATGCCACGTATACAAAAAGAGACCCAAAGCATTGTGGATGCTCTATTGTGGATGCTCTTAGAGCATCCACAATGCTTTGGGTCTCTTTAAAAAAAATCACATGTCATGTAGGAAATAAACCTGGTCTATAAAAAGTGTTTGACTAAGTCCACTCTTAAGTCTATTTTGGATCCAAGTGTGAACCTTACAAATTACAATATCAATCATTTACTATTATTATATTTTTATTGGTTGTCAGGTATTTTATGCCTAGTACTTTTTTTTTTATATTAGATAAATTTTGGACTTTTTAGCTTGAGTTTGTCTATGTTATTATAGACTTAAGTTTATTTATTTGCTGAAAAAAAAAACATTGCAATGTCCAATCAGGATATATCTGATCCGGTTTTTCTATGGAGCATGTGGATTGTTTTTATTAAGGAGCCATCCTCTTATGTGGCACTTATGTGGCACACACAAGGGCATTGAAATTAAACACATGTGTCATTTATTTTTATATTACATAAATAAATTAAAAAAAAAAGAAAAGAAAGTTGTTCTCATTTCTCAATCATCCCCGAAAATCAAAAACTTGTTCTCTCCCAAAATCCCTAATTTCTTCTCATCCCTAATTCGACCCATCCCTAAATTCCTCGTCGATTTGCAGTTGCAGGGCATAAATCAAGCACATCCCATCGACAGACGGGTTCACCTGCTCCATGGGCAGGGCTGGTTCTTGTGCGGACCTTGCTCACAGCACCTCAAACAGAATGGCGACGCGTAGGGGATTTCGGAGTCGAAGAACAACAACGAGACGTGGTGGAGCTTGCGTGGAGGTTCCGGCGTCGGCGGGGGAGGCGCGCGGCTCCGGGAGAGACCGCGTGCGACTGGGCCTCATCCTGGCGAGCGGGGTCTGTGGGCTGACCGGCGGCAACGACGCGCAGGGGGCTTTCGGAGGCGAAGAACATCATCAACACGTGGTTGAACTCCCGCGGAGGATCCGGCGCCAGCGGGGAGGCGCGTCTGTAAGCTGCTTTACGGGTTAGGAAGATTGGTACCTGATCGGGGCGAGCGAGGTCAGCGGGCTGACTGGCGGCTCCGGGAGAGACCGCGTGCGCTGGGCCTGACCTTGGCGAGCGGGGTCTGCGGGTTGTCCGGCGGCGTGCTGCTGGTCACCTCCGGCACGTTTTCCTGTTCCGGCTCAAGAAACAGCGACTACATTTGGTTTCCTTCTTCTGTTATGATGACTTTTTAAGAGAAGATGAGTATGAATAATGGGCTAAAGGCCTATCCGATTCGACTGAAATCGTGCTTCCAACTGAACTCGACCAAGTTGGCACAAAAGACCTTCCATCGTATAGCTTCGAGAAACTAGCAAATGCCACCATCTAGCAAACATACTCTTGGTAATGCATTTGCATCATCAACCGTGAGCAATTTGTAGTTTATGTTTGATTATAGATTATATGAGAAATGTAGGATGATAATGGTGTGGAATAATGTGGTTGAGGTTGATATGTGGCTGAGGTTGATATGGGATGTGTATAATGTAGCTTCTGTAACAGCTTTTTTCAACCTCTCCTCGGGAAGTACGGTAAGAGGAATAGTCGGATATCTAGTCTTGAGCCCGGTATCTTGATTTCTGAGAGATTGATATGGGATGTGTATAATGTGGTTGAGGTTGATATGATATGGGTTGTGGGATGTGTATTATGTTTCACACTTTGATGAGATGAAATAGGATCAAATGTACTCAATGGTTTCTATATAGCTTTGTGAAATAAATGAAGACATTGGAGTTTCATTTCTTCTGTTTTATTTTTTTTACACAGCAAAAATTTCTTGTGGCTGATGGAAATGAAAGAAATTTAACATAATTTGGAAATGAAATAAATTGAACATATTGTGTGTGTTTTTTGGGAGCTTTGGTGGATGACACACAAGCAAACAAGTTCACTGAATCTCCAAGGCACCAAAGCTAAAAGAAAACAGAATTGATGTTCTCAGGTAACCTCAAGAAAGATACAACTGACTTTGTCCAAAATACAACTGAAAAGTAATGTATGGTTGATGTTCTCAGGTAACCTCAAGAAAGAATTGATGTTCTGAAGTAGAGTGTGGACAGAGCATTAAAGTGTTAAACCTGATAATACAACTGACTTTGTTCAAAGACAGTAATCTCAATAATGAACTAAAGATTGACTGAAAGATTCAAAGGACAAACTAAGGGAAGGTAATACAAGAGACATAAAAATGGACCAAAATCAAACATATCCAGGAGACATAAAAATGGCCAAACAAACGTTTGAAACTACAGAAATTGGGATAAAAGAAAACAACAGCTACCAGTAAACATTATTGGATCAAAATCAAATACATATGGAAAGAGAAGTAGATAGAGGAACTCATGGACATACTCAAATAAAAGATACCTTTACCTGTCATCATTAGCAACAATCAAAATACTAAAAAGTAACAAAAATAAATAAATGTCTTATTAAACACAAAACCATTCCTCTGAAAAATGTAACAATCAAAATACTAAAAAGTAACAAAAATAAATAAATGTCTTATTAAACACAAAACCATTCATCTAAAATATGTAACTACTAAAATAAACATTTCAAATATCAGAGCAACTGAAATTTGTCACTTTTGACATGTTTGGACGATATGGATCATCTTCAAGGTGAATGCTATGAATGGGACATTTGCGCTTGTCATGGCCCTTCTGCCCACACAAACTACAAGATCGAGCACTTTGAGATATGGCTTTCTCTTTACTCGACTTTAAACGTTTGCCACAACCTTTAGTTCGTATAGGCTCGGGGTCGCATACAATAAATGTCTCTTCGCCTTTGTCATTACTCAATCGCTTGCTCATGCATTCTTTTTCATCAATCTCACCAACCTCCCATTTCAAAACTTTGAGCTTTTCCATTAGAAACTTGCTTCTTGCCTCAGTCAAAGATGCATCATCGATGAGCTTTTTCGTTATTTTCATCAGCGCCCCACGTCTGCTATGCAAAGATTCACCTACTTCAAAATCAAATGGTGTATTATAAATGAGGTTACTCTTTGCATTCTTCGTTTACCTTTTCTTCACGTACTTTTCTGGTACTAGCATAACTTGTTCAACCCTCATCCAACATAGCATGTGTCGACAAGGATACCCTTCAAACTCAAATTTTTTACAACTACACGTTATAAAATCTTCCGGGACATCATATGTCAAAATTCGCTGACGTTGAGTATTCATCTCAATATCAAACCGCCGAACTTCATAAACCCGGGAATCATTTGAACTTGACACCATTTTGCATATATATCTCGCACTTTCTTCGAACTCTTTCTGGAACAACAAAAATATAGACTTCGTATAAATCTCTACCATCTGCTTTTCCATAGCGAATGAGGTGTTGATCCGTGGCTTTTCATTTAGATCAACATGACTAGCCATCAATTCTTCATGTCTCTGATGCGCAATAGCCCTACTAAAACGAGTGGAAAAGTCATTCAATGAACATTTTTTGTCCAGGTACCTTTTGAAGAACGTATGATTACTCTCAACTCGTTGGCTACTGGACATACCTGCAGCAAAAACACCCCTTACATAAGCTGGAACCCAACGATGACGGATTTCATACATCTTTGACAACCATACATTACCATTCAATTGGGAATCACTCATCAACGAATTCACCTGCACTCAAACTCACTGGGAGTCTCAGAGTCATTAATAATACCACTTAAAGTATGGTAGTATAGCTTATGAAGAATAGGGCCGAGCTTTTCTGAAAATTTGTTCAGAATATGCCAGATACAATATCGGTGCATAGTGTTCGGAAACACCTCAGCAACAGCAATTGATATAGCTGCATCCTGATCGGTGATAATAACTTGTGGATGTGGCTGGTCTACCATTGCTTTTACAAAGTTAGAGAATAACCAAACAAATGATTCTGCTTTCTCGTCGCTGAGTAATGCACAACCAAATACAGTTGTCTGCCTATGATGATTAACACCAACAAAAGGTGCAAACACCATTCCATATTTATTTGTATTATATGTGGTATCAAAGACAACTGCATTTCCAAACATTGCATATGAGTTTCTTGATTCACTATCAGCCCAGAAACACCTGGTGAAAACACCATCCTCATTAGTCTCAAAAATATAATAAAAATTTCCATTCTTCTCCTTTTCCATTTCAAATTGGTGAATCAAGGTTTGTGCATCATGTCCACTTAATTCAGCTTTACGTGCTACTTCTTTATTTCGGATATCCTTCTCTAAACAACCCATCATAGAGGGACCACCAGAATCAATTTCAAACAATCTTACTTGCTTGCATGTGGGGATATTTGCCTCAGTGTACTCCTGGACAAGTGCTCTTTTTGTGGCTGACACCCCTCTGTGAGATCTCAACAAGTGAACCTTCCTAGGAGTAGCGAGCGGATGATTATGCTTCTCTACAAAATGCTTCACCACCCAAGTTTCATTTTTTTTTTCGAACACTCATTCGAGCTGGACAGTTACAACGAGTCTCCCCACGTTTTCGTGCCTTAGTTTCTGCCACCGTGCCTCGTTTATTTCGGTATGACACATTTGTCTTCCCTTCTTTAGAGCAAGCAAACATTTTTCCCACAACCGTGTCAGCTTTTGTATCTTTTTGACTGTTTTTTATTTTTGTGCTAAATCCTGCAACTTTAGCATATTCATTATAGAAACAAAGAGCTTTTTCCGCCGATTGAAATTCTTGTCCTATTAAAGGCTTGGCCAACGAATCAACTTGCGGTATGAACGATTCTTCTTGCTCAATCTCCATCCTACGTAAATCAAATATACTAAATGACATAAATATAAAATCTAAAATCATGACAANCTTTTCTTTTTTTTTTAATTTATTTATGTAATATAAAAATAAATGACACATGTGTTTAATTTTAATGCCCTTGTGTGTGCCACATAAGTGCCACATAAGAGGATGGCTCCTTAATAAAAACAATCCACATGCTCTATAGAAAAACCGAGATCCGATATTAGATTTTCTAAGTTGACTTTTAGAAAGCAACAGCGATCAACGCTCTTGTGATGGCGTCCCTGGCGACTCTCCTCCTTCCCATCTCTGAAACCCCAACATTGAAATCGAAAACAATTTCTTGGCGACTCGTCAATTTCTCATCTCTGTCTGAAAACATGTCTTTTTCAGGGCATTGGTCTCAGTTCATACTGCCCAGGACACTCCAAATCTCCTCTACTCGATCAACTGCTGTCCAGAGTTCCTCCCAAACCCAGATTTCTCCTGGTAATTTTGTTCCAGGATATTTTGTTTATAAACCAAGATTTCTCCAGGAATTTACATTTAAATTGTTAACCCAGAGAATCCGCCATTATGATTATTGATATGTCGTGGATTGTGATGTTATTCGTTTATTTTTAATTATTTATTTCAGGAACTGAGTCAACTCAACCATCTGACATCCCGCTTATTTCTAGCTCAGAGGTTATCTTTGCCCTTTTCTTTTTCCTTTTCTGTTTTTTCTTTTTAACTATTCTATCTATGCAATTAATGAAGCTGGGAGCTATGACTATGAGGGAATATTTGATTTAAATGCTTTGATTAATCACTAAGAGAGTTTTGCTCTTAAGGAATTTGCAAGACCTAAACTTCTACGAAGTAATGTGAGAAAATAGCTGAGGAACGATTTTAAAATTGGAGTACAAGTAATGAAATTGACTTAACTACTGAATGAAGCATTAAGGGGGGGGTACACAAAATTGTTTTTTGTGACTGAAGGCAATCAAGAGACTAAGAGAGTTCCGGGAAAGTTATGAGAGTAAGCAGCAATATTTGGCTATGTACTCTAGTATTTTTGGGGGAATTACAACTGATCCAGCAGCTATGGTGATCCCTTTGGACGATCACATGGTCCACAGAGGGCATGGAGTTTTTGATACTGCAGCCATTTTTGATGGGTCAGTATTCACTTACCCTCATCATTTTGTGGTTTTTGATTTTTCTAATTCATGCATTTCTGACATTGATGTTGGTACGAAGTATTTGTTACTGTAGAACGAAAAGCTCTTCGGTTGATTTTTTGTTTTCCAACTATATATGTATTTGGTTCTATTTTGATAGAGATGACTCAAAACTCAAGGCACATCTTCATAATAATATATTTTGTAAAACAGAGCATTCTGTGAAAAAAATTAATATGCTGAAGTTGTCATAAATCATATTTTTATAATTCTGCCTGCATTTTCTCTCATCTCAAATATCCGCAGTGCTTGCAAGTAGTTCTATATTCATCTAGCTTGTGTCATCTGTATCATCTGCATGTTCAATGAATGGAATTTGTTTGCTAGTAATATATCAAGGGACTTGACCAATTCGAGTTGAGCTAAACTAAATATTTTCTCAATTCTTGTTTGAAACGTGACGAAGCTTCAAAAACTATGTTTGAACTTTGTTTCATTATTGCCGAATAAGATCCACGCATACTTTATTTATTAATTTTTCATTAAGTCAGTCAGACTCGTAGACTCTTCTCAAATAGATCTCGGTCAACAGCAATTGTACCAAACGAAACAAACTACTAGAGCTGAGTTTTCATTAATTTGTACCTCTTTTTAGAAACACATTTATTTCCATCCCCAGATACGTTTACGAACTGGATCAACACTTGGACCGTTTCCTTCACTCAGCATCAATGGCCAGAATAACTCCCCCTTTCGACAAACAAACCATCCGCAAAATCCTCATAAAAACAATAAGCACCTCAAAGTGTCGTGAGGGCTCGTTGAGGTACTGGCTATCGTCTGGGCCCGGCGACTTCCTTCTGTCCCCGTCCAGCTGTCACTGCCCAACCCTCTACGCCATCATAATGTGTGGGACCACCCAAAGCCACAGCCAGAGGGGCATTAAGGTAATTACATCCTCAATCCCCATTAAGTCCCCGCAATTTGCAGTGATGAAGAGTGTGAACTACCTACCCAACGTGCTCACAAAGATGGAGGCTGAAGATCGTGAGGCATATGCAGGGATTTGGTTGGATGAAAGGGGTTATGTGGCTGAGGGACCCAACATGAATGTGGCCTTTGTGACGGAAGCTCGGGAGTTGTTAATGCCGAGATTTGACCGCATTCTCAGTGGGTGCACGGCGAAGAGAGTTTTGGAGCTGGCGAAGGGGTTGGTGGGGGAGGGGATGATCGAGGGGGTTCGGGTGGATGACGTGGCGGTGGAGGAAGGGAGGAAGGCGCAAGAGATGATGCTTATTGGGAGCGGGACCTACGTGCGTCCGGTGGTGCAGTGGGACGACCAAGTCATCGGTGATGGTGAGGAATTCGGTGAAACCGTATATGCGTAATTTTTTTTATGCTTTTTCCTTAGGTTTGTCATATAAAGAATTGAAGTTGACAAATTGTCTTGTAAATTTGCCAATTAAAAAACCTAACATGACACACACACACAAAAAAAAAGGAAAGGCTAACAGTATGGTTCCATTGGTATTTTTAACCGTAGATTATTTACACATATCTACATATCACTGATCTACATGTGTATCTACGGTTAAAATATTGTAATGAGACTATAGCATTCTAAAAAAAAATTATAAAATAAAAAAATAAATAAACAATGAATTAACTCAACTAACGATGAATTTTGGGTTGGACTTTAAAATTAATTTAATTCTTTTAAAGCCTATGACAAGACGTATAGGAGGAGGCATGATTTATCGATTTCTGATGATTGATTCATCGGAAATTGTTCGAGGTAAGCGGCACATGTGCATAAAGAAACTTTATTTTTATATTTAGTTAATCAAGTTCATTTGAAATTAGCTCTCAAGATGATTTTATCTAATGAGGTTGTTTTTTATGAAAATCATTTGTCTCATCATGATTTTCAAAAGTCCGGTAAAGTTCGGTTCAAAATCATCATGAATTGAGTTGAAAAAAAATTATATCATGTTAGAGTTTTTAATTGCGTGAGACAGACTGTTAGTTTCGTATACATTGGTAGGCAATTTGTCAACTTTAAAACTTTATACGAAAAATTTAAAAATTAATAATATGCTTTGGAGTTTAAAAAATATTCCTTAGATAAAGCTGAAGCTTATGGTATTGGTGGTTTTTGTTTTGGGCAGGGAATGAAGGTCCAGTGACTCTAGCTCTGCTAAAGCTTTTGTTGGAAGACATGAGATCTGGGCCGGACACAGTAAGAATTCCAATTCCTTATTAAGTTATTACCATCCTTTTGTATAATTTGAAGTGGCTAAGGACAGTGGCTTAAAAAACAAATGAAGCTAGCTTAAGATGCTCATGTTATTAAATAATTTGTGAATTCCAAGAATAAAAATTGTGTATTGAAAATGTAATTTAAGGACCATATTGATTTTCTGCTATTATTTATTCACTTTATCCCTCTTTACCAACCAATTACAATTTTACACATTAGAAATGATACGGCAATTAACATTATCCAATGCTCTAAATGATGTAAATGCATGCACAACCAATAACTTCCGCATTAATATTTTAAAACATATGTTGTTAATTTAAAATAATTAGATAATTATCTAACCCACAACTCATGCCCCAAAGTCATTAAAATGGATAAGTAAATATATAGTAGTATAACACTCGTGTATTACATANAAAAATAATTACAACCTGAGGCTAAATAGCCTACAAACCAACAACAAGGATGATTAGGAGAGACACTAAACCTAGCGCCTAGACAAAAACCCACAGGATTGCATTCAAACTATCGGCAACAACAAGAATGTCGAACCCAGTAGCTTGACCAATCTCCCCCGCTGCTAGCTAAAGCAACTAACAAAAGAGCCATCAACCACTGAACCCACAAGGCCTCGTCAGATAACTCAGCAACTACCTAACAAAAGTTGTACAAGCAGGCAATCCACCTAGCTAAAAACCAACAAACTGAAAATAAAACCAAAACTAACAATCTAACCAACTAAGCTAGCAAGAAAACACCACCAGAAGCATTGCAAACCAGAAAGATTACAAAATGATCTCCATTCCTCTAAAGCTTTATTGACAATGCATAGCTCTGGTTTCTAAACACTTCTGAAAGTCCACTCATTTCTCCCTTTCCAAATTTCCCAAAGCAAGTACACAGTTAGCTGCAATCTGGCTTCTGATATTGCATTTTTCTTTAAAGTGCAAAGGTAAATCCACCAGTCTTTGAATATGCTCAACTTCCAATCCAATCCTTCCCAGGTGATGGTCTCTAAATTTGCATAGATTTTGGGCAAGTAAAGAAAAGATGCTCCATTGTTTCAGGCTCCATTCCATAAGTTTTACAAAAGTTGTCCAGCTGGATTCCTTCTTTGCAGAGGTTGGTATTAACTGGGATGATGTTCTCACAACACTTCCAGAGGAAGTGTTTCAGTTTCCCTCTTATTTTGAGATGCCAGCTTCTATTTCCCATAGACTTCAAGTTTGCCAATTGCTTGCTACTTTCACGTAAATCTAGAATCTGCCATTTTTCCTTCAACAGCTAAAGGGTCAAGCCTTCTTATTTTGAGTATTTTAGTGCTCTCTTGTGTTGGGAAGCTTCTCAAAACTAACTCTCTATTCGAGTGTTAGTCGTCTTTCTCCATTAAGTCTTTAACCAATACCAGCTTATCCTTTAGATTCATGTTGACTTTTGATTTGAATTGTGGTAGGTTTGGAACCCATGGTTGCTCCCAAAAAATGAGCACTATGATAAACTAAATATGCACTATGATGAACTAAATATGAACTAAATGAGCCGGAACCAGTGACCGTCGGGCTTGAAACTCAACAGATGGCGGGCGAGATTCCAAATCAACAGACGACGACGTACGAGACTCCAAATCAACGAGCCTGAAACTCAACGGATGACCGTCAGCGTGAGCATCCATCTCACGTCGTCGTCGTCGGAGATGTTGAGCGGTGGTGTTGAAATCGAATGCGAATGTTGCTGAAATCAGGTCCCGATTGGGGCTGCAAATTAGTTAGGGCATAGGGGCATGACATTGAGAATTAGACAAATTATGTGGATTTGATCGAAATTTTATAAACTTATAATTTATTTCAATTTGATCCCTTGGGGTTAATTTGTAAGTTATTTATAGTTTAAATAACTACAATATGACCCTTGAGTTTTTATATTACAAAATTAATGCATATTAGTTTATTTCTTGTGCATATTTAGATAATACAAAGTGATAACGTCTAACACTCCGACTGGTTGGAAATCGGCTCGCCTCCTTCCTCCTCGCCAGTAGAACGCCGCGTACCTGAAAAGAACTCTCACAGCGGAGGGGTTTTCCGGTGAAGGGCCTCGGATGCTTAAGTCAGTGTTTGTTCTACTCAATTCTCAAGAGTAAAAATGATAAATCGTGTTCAATAAGTAAAGCTCACCCCTATTTATAGAGGTGAGATACCTGACCTAGGAGCTGTCCGGATTTGATGTGTTGTCTGCCCAAAGCTACTCAGGCCTACCTGTCCATACACACATAGTGTGCGTGTATCAGAAACGGTTATCATTATAGACCAATACATTCATGCCACGTGTCCACTACACATGGGGTAAATATTCCCCTGAATATTCCTCTGAAATTCCATTAAAGGCGCTCAACCGCGTCTAGGTCGATCCTCAGACTGCTCTTGGCCTGTGAAGTGGTCGATCAAATGATCCTTCGCTCGGCAGGTCGATCATCGACTAGATCCCCCGTGAACTTGAGACCAACATATACCCCTCGTGCTGGAATTCTCCCTATCATGTTCTCATAGTGCTCGACCACAACCGCTCTGCTTGATACTGTTCGACCAGTGTGGCCTTCTTCATATTGGATCTGTTCGGCCGGTCTAGTGAACCGGTTTACTCCTTTAGGTATATAATATCCCATATCATCTGATAGAGTGAAGGGCAATAATAGATAATGAAAGAACTACCCCGAAGGGTCCTCAGGCTATCTTGCCTGCCACAAACGTCAATATTCCAGAATTCCTAATCTAACTCTTAGCCACCAATATATATACTAAACCCTAATAATTTAATAATTAAACCCTAAAGCCCATTTAAGAGCCTGCTAACTTAACTAATTATATTAACTAAATAATAAGGATAATTGGGCCTACGCCCTAGGGCCCAGTAGGAGCAGCCGCAGCTCGTTTAAGTCTTCTAGAATAAACTTTCAGAAATTGGTCTTTATCAACTCCTGCACGGACGGAAACAACCTTGTCCTCAAGGCTGAAATTAGGGAATTGGCCACGTACTTTCTCAATGTCCAGCAAACCACTTCATCATCCCCGTGATCTACCCATTTGATTAGAACCTGTGGAACCATTGCCCCATTGCGCTTAATCTCTCGTCGAGCTAGCACTTTCTCCGGAATAAATAATGGGTCATCTCCCAATAATTCTTCAGGAAATGTAGGCTCAACGGAATTCAGTCCCACCGAAGCTTTTAACAGCGACACATGAAAGACAGGATGCACCCTTGCGGTACCAGGCAATTTCAATCGATAAGCAATTGCTCCAATACTAGCCTCTACCTCAAATGGCCCAAAAAATCGAGGTGCTAACTTAGTGTTCATGCTACGGAAAACGTTCGTCGCCGAAAAGGACGAAATTTGACAAACACTTTATCCCCTACTGCAAACTCCACGTCCCTACGATGTTTATTCGCTTCACGAATCAGGCGTTGTTGAGCACGTTCCAGGTGGAAATGCAAATGGCGCAAGACCTCATCCCTGTCCCGAAGATCCTCTACTAATGATTGTGTCCTCACTTCCCCAGGTATAAAACGATGTAGCCTAGGAGGTGCACGACCATAAACTACCTCAAATGGAGTACCGCCCACACTTGATTGAAAACCCGCATTATAGCAGTACTCTTCCCAAGCCAACCACTTACTCCACTCTCTTGGCCTTTCAGAACTAAAACAACGCAAATATGTCTCAAGGCAACGGTTCAGTACCTCGATCTGTCCGTCCGTCTCAGGATGATATGCTGAACTCATTCTCAACTTAGTGCCTGCCAACTTAAATAACTCCTGCCAGAACGAACTTAGGAACACTGGATCTCTATCTGATACAATTGATGTTGGAATACCGTGCAAGCGCACCACCTCTCGACGGAACAAATTTGCCACAAATCGGGCGGTGTAAGGGTGTCTCAATCCCAGAAAATAACCATATTTTGAATATCTATCAACAACCACCAGGATACAGTCAAGATTGCTCGAACGGGGAAGGCTCGAAATAAAGTCCAAGCTAATGTCCTCCGAAACTCGATCTGGATTTGGCAAGGGTTGTAGCAAGTCCGCTGGCTACTTGGTGTCGTACTTGTTTCTTTGACAGATGTCACAACGTCTCACAAAATCCGTCAGTTGGCGCATTATTCCTGGCCAATACACGTTTGCTGCTAAGCGTCGATAAGTGCGGAATGCCCAGAGTGACCCCCTGTTGGTGTGGAATGGAATTCTGAAATTAATTTGGTGGTCCACTCGGATCCACTAAGAACTACCAAGCGGCCCTTATAGAATAGATTCTCATGAACAAGGGAGTAATGCGGTGGTGCAGACGTGCTAGATTCCAAGGCCGACACGATTGTGGTTAACTTTGGATCAGACTCAATAGTCGATTTTAGTCGACTCCAATCCATCCATGTGGGCATACTAATGGCTGTTAATTCCACCTCCTCATCATGCCTACGTGATAGGGCGTCGGCAGCTTGATTTGAAGTTCCAGAGCGATAACCTATTTCAAAATCAAAGCCTAGCAATTTAGCAGCCCAATTTTGTTGGGCAGGAGTAGTCAATTGTTGTTGTAATAGATGTTTCAAGCTGCGTTGATCCGTACGAATTAGAAAGCGTCGCCCCATGAGGTATGGACGCCAATGTCGTATAGCCATCACCAATGCCATCAACTCCTTCTCGTAAGCGGATTTAGCCAAGGCGCAGTCTGAAATACCCTTGCTAAAATAAGCCACCGGACGACCTTGTTGCATCAAAACCGCACCAAGCCCTCGTCCAGATGCATCACATTCAACGACAAACGACAATGAAAAATCAGTCATAGTTAAAACCGGAGCGTAAGTTAGTGATTGCTTGAGTTCTTGGAAAGCTTGTTCAGCCTCACAAGGCCAGACCCACTTCCGAGATGTCGTTTTTTTCAATAGAGACGTGAGAGGAGAGGCAATCTTGCCATAACCACAAATGAATCGGCGATAGTAACCTGTGAGGCCAAGGAAACCACGCAGGCCACGAAGAGAAGCAGGACGCGGCCATTGGAGCACTGCAACGATTTTTGTTGGGTCCATATGCACCCCATCTGACGAGACCACATGGCCAAGATACTCGACAGATTTCTTTCCAAACGAACACTTCTTCAGATTTATTGAAAATGAGTGTTCCCGAAGGAGGCCCAATACCTGT